AAAAAAAAATCTATGCATTTATCTATCTACCTGTCTATCATCTATCTATTATCTATCTATCGAAAGTTAAGTAGTATATTTTATTTTATTTTCTCATCTGTCCTTTCTCCTCCTTTTCTCACAACCTCCCTTCTCTTTTTTTCTTTCCTCTCTTTTTTGTTTACTTCTAGTATGTATTTACAAATTTATTTAGAGTTATCAATGAGTGAACATTATAAAAAGCTTACATTTCCTTCAAATCTTGAGAACACTGACCATGAGTTGATCAAGAGAGTTAGTTGCTCTAACGTAAAGGAACAAATTGCAATGGAGGTGTAGAACAAAAACTAATAGGATTTGCAACTGAAGAAAGCGCATCACAGTCTGGGAATGATGAGACAGCAAGAGTTCTGCTATGTTCCGGTGGTAGTTTATGGTGATTATTTTTTCTTAATATACATTTCTCTTTAGTTCTACATTCTATCATTAAAATTACAAGTTATTAATAGGTACCTACTGTATCTTTAGCAATATTAAATAGTTAGCTAAAATGAACTACACAATACTTACATCTGTAAAAGTTTCTATTTAGTAATTGCATTTGCAACTTTTAAAAAATGTGTTCCTTTCCCAAAATATTGAGAGAGTTCTAGAGAAGCAGGCCACTAAGTTTTTAAATTTGATCATTGTGTAATGTCTTTTTAAAAATAAATTTTAAATAACTTTATTATCAAACACACACACATACAAAAAATGAAAACCATTCAAAGAAGAACAATGCAAGGGTAAAAAAGCTACAATAATATTCAAATACAGTAGAACTCAACCAAAACAAGATTGAAAAGCACTTAAACATTTTTCCATATAACTTATAAAAGCATCTCAAGCACCAACAACACACCAGAAGATGTGATTTGTTTCAGAAAGATCCCCCAAACCAACATTGAACAAATAATAATCTGGGAAAAAATTCCAGTTAGCAGACTCCACATAAGCCAAATTTCTCCTTAATTTAAATTTTGATACAGTCATATGACACTCGATGGAAGCACAATCCAAGAAATATGTTATTAGGCCATTTCATCCATGTGTATTCTTAATTACACTTTCAGTTTCTCAAAGAACTAGGCTTAGAGGTCCCATTCAACCCAGCTATCCCTCTGCGGGGTATCTTCCCCAAAGAATTAAAAGAATCTTACCACAGCGATATATGTGTACCCATGTCTATAGCTGCACAGTCCATAATAGCAAAATCTTGGAAACAGCCCAAGTGCCAATCAACTGGAAACTGGATAAAGAAGATGTGG